AGACGAGCGGGGTGAGTACGTGTGATCCCGATGTGTTGCAGTATCCTAACCGATTGATAGGCCTGGACTCGGAAGGGATCTATCGCGTGAGTTCTGGACTGGACTCTTGTCCTGACCAAACATTCTGACGCCTTCGGTGATATTCAGATCTCAGGGAGACAAGCAATCGTTCAGGACGTGAGCACGAGTTTCTCTTATCTTGTGGGGAAGGTTACTAATGACGAATTGCATCATTCAGCTTATTCACCGAATCGAAAGGGACGAGACGCAATTTGAGTTTGAGAAAACGACTGATGTGTTTTGTATCGGTTCATTGCTCAAGGTGTGCCCTTGTCTTGTCTTGGATTGCAAGGCATGATTTGATGTTTGTTTAGCGATATCTTCGTGAGCTCCCTGAGCCACTGTTCAAGTTCCCGCTCGCAGAGCGACTTCAGCATTCTGCAGGACGCAGTACGTTACGTTAATCTACCCGTGTCAGACATGGGTGCTAACTCAGATGCCCAGGTGAACACATCAAGAATGGGTTCATAATGTTGCGCGGGAAACTGCGACGACTTCCGGGTGTGCATCAGGCGACGATGAGAATAGTTATTGAACATCTGGCAAGGGTTGCTGCCCGGTCTCAAAAGAACAAGTAAGTACTGCCTTTTGTTGGAGGGTTACAGACTCTAAAACTTCTATTCACAGGATGGACGCGCGTAACCTTTCTATCGTGTTTAGCGGCGTGATCTTTGGCGAGGATGACATCCCAAAAGGTAGCTCGGATCTACTAAATGTAGGGACCATGAAAGATACTGTAATGGAGGATCTTATCAGCTACGGTACGCCTCCACCCTTGCTCCATCATCTCACCTGCCTTACTAAATCACAATGTAGCACCCATGCTCTTCGACGAGAACGCACACCCTAGGGTGGAAGGTGTCTCACCATCCTCGAGTGTGTTCTTTTACGCAAACGCCGCGTCAGGAATGGACGAACTCCCAGACTATACAGCTTCAGGTTCCATCTCGGTCGGTCCGGAAAAGGGTGAAAAGGCAGGATCTACATCGGGGCATTCGGCTAAACCGTCCATTCACGAGTCGCAGGATGTCCACCAGCGTGACGAGAAGGAGAAAGAGAAGGAGAAAGAGAAAGGAACAGGAAAGTCGGCGAAGGAGAAAGAAAAGGAGAAAGGACAAGACCCAGTTCCGGTGGTTCGAGAGTTGCCACCCGAACCAGTTGGCGAGGCCCCCGCGAAGATCGAGTATGGTTCGTCGCATACAGTCGTACGCGTAGGAGATGCACCACCCAACTTCTCGCCCACCCTTCCAGAGGTGGATTTCGCACCACGTTTACCTCCCAGACCTGGGAAATCGATTCACCCTGCCTCGCGTGCGGCCGCTTTGAATCCTGACCGACCGCAAGAGGGGGTGATTATTGGGAATGGTCCGCCACCGTCATTGCCTCTACGTACAGGATCGGGCGAGGCGCCCGCTCTTCCCCCACGGAGACTGGGTAGCGGTGTACCTGCATTGGATGTAAGGTTGCCATCACCCTTGCCTGAGATGACGTTTCCCAGGACTCCGAGCCCTCCCCCACGGACACCCGTGACCGAGGTCAGGGAGGCAGAGCCCGGCACCCCTTCGAGGGTTGGAGTACTAAATACTCCTATAAAGACCGCAGTATCTACGATTGCTACGCCCGTCAAGGCGAATAATAGTCCGTTGAGGACGATGGAGAAGAGTTCCGAGGTTCCGACCGACGACTCGCCTGCGACTGCTGAATTCACGACTCCCATTTCGTCTCCGATGGCCACGCGCGTGACCCCCTCGCGTGCTGTGACCAGCGAAGACGTCAAAGACACTTCTTCCCCTCGCCGCTCAACTGAAGCGGCTAAAGAACACCCGTAATCTGCTTTCCGACCCGTGATGACCTCTGATTTCCTTGCTATGTCCAAACAAACTTTTATCTTGGGGCCAAATGAGAATATTCTTGTAGTGTAGATAATACAGTACATCGCTTGTTTCAGATACAAAAACATTTGCGTTAAAAATATACCGTTCAGTGATCGATACGAGTCTACTTGATTGATTCATTAGGTTAGAGGTTGCCGGTGTGAGGCATCGTGACTGAGTCGTTCATCGTGAGCGTGCCATCTTTCAGCTGCTTCTGAACTCCTTCCTCGAAGGAGATGACGGCTTGGAGTGCGGCGTCCCGGCCGCACAAGGACATGCTGGAAGTTTCCCAGATGTTCTTCATTAGAGGAGTGGCCTTGCGCACACGCTCCATGAGCGGAAGGGTCTCGTTCAGCGTGGCTCCGCTCTCCATCAGACATTCCAGAGCGCTTTTGAGGTAATCTGTGTGCATACGATCAGCTCCACCCTGGGATCGTGTTGCTAGTCTACTTACAAGCATGATTCTCGTCATCCTTGGGGAACCGCTCAGCGCCAGACAAATACTTTTCATAGGCCAGCCTGTAATTTGCCTTTTGCTTGACGGGATCGACGGGCACCGAAGTGAGAGCGAGCTGCATGTGATAGAACCCATCGATGATTAGAGCTTCCGCGGTGGGATAAACCCAGTATGCGGCGATATATCCTGGAGTCAGCTTATCCTTGTCCTCCGACTCGGGTGGATGCTGCTCAACATCGTCGAGAATAGCGGCGGAGGTATTTTTGAGCTCGGCGAGAGAAAATGGCGAGTTGGGGCTTGGGTTGTTAATGATTGCCTATGCGATATAGTTAGCTTGGCTAAGGTTATTGGTGCGCATTTACTCACTTGGTATAGCGTATGCAAATACAGGCGCTTCACACTTCGACGGAATGTGTGCTCAAAGATAACGCCGCGCTGGCTAGTGGGAACATCCGGCCACTGATGGTCACCCCATGTTAAGAACCGCTGCACTTTTTGTAACAAATGTACCGCAGTGTTGTAGTCGGGGATCGAGCGTAACAAGAAAGCGTGCATAATCCATGCGCGCACGGTCAAATCCAATGCGGGTCGCACGTCGTTCCAGCCGCGTGTGGCGACACGCTCTCGGATCTCGCGCATGATAATCGCCTCATCTGCTTGGTTAATCCATGCGTTATATTCCATTGCCTCGTATTGTGCTAGAAGTGATGTATTAGCAAAGCGCGAGAGCTTGCGGAAATAACGTACCTTGGTAGCCATACCGATCCTTCCAGTCTGAAGTAGTCATATGGAACGCCCTTTCATCTCGCAAAAGCCCGTCTGAAATGTCGACAACAGCCTAGAACCGGGGTCAGAAACCGCATATATGTTGACATCTTTCCACATACACCGAGACGGCCATAGATAACAGTGCCTTCCGAAGTCTCGGTTCGTTGGAGCTCCCAAAGGGCCTCGCAGCCCTTGCTGAAAAGCTGGGAAAAAATGTATGAGTCTGGTTGGGGGGGTTGTATGAAACACTATACCTCATGCGCTTCCAGGATGATCCAAGCCTACGTGCCGTGTGAGTTTATGGTGATTCAAGTGTTCATGAATACTCACGCTCGTGCATGTACCATCCGAAGCATTCATGCTCGGGCGTAGCGCTACAAAAAGGATGAACATAGCCCGCGAGTTCCAACCCGCGACCTACCTGCTGCTTTGTCCCAAGGCATATTTCCAGTAGCATTACGGATGAGCAGCACATCGGGCCCAGCTTCCTTGCGTTGCGCCTCGGCCAGTGCTTGTTCAATCTTGACTTTGCGGGCGATATCAGCTGAGGTTGGCTCAGGAATGGCATCCAGGAGCGTAATGGCTTTTCCATAGGATTCGTACGCATCGTTGTAACGATGTAGACCCTTGGATGTATTAGGAACGAGTACAATTGTTCGAGCAAAACCTACCAGCTGAGCCGTGGCCAATCGTTCGTACCCGCGAGAATAGGTTGGGTCTGCTTCGACACTCCGTTTAGCATCCGAGATGGCGTCTTCGAACCTAAAGCAAGTTAAATGACGCATATAACCTATGTTGTGGGCCGCAGTCACACCTGCGTAGTTTCATCTCGGCTGCGGCCCGATTGCAGTACAGCACGGCCTTCTCATGAGGCTCGAGGTCCGTGTGACCCAGAGCCCGAGTGTACACCCGTTTTGCACCCTTGCTATCGCCACTCTTGAAAAGTTCGCTGGCTTCAGCCTTGAGAGAAGCCAGAGGCGTTGTATCGTGCACGGTCATGCCAAATGCTTCGGCGGTGTCAACTTTGATCTTACATGCTGCCACTTCACCTTGATGTTTGACCTTTGACTTGAGCTTGGATATTAGAGAGATTGATGGCATGACACCAGTGTAGAATAATAGAATGCGTTGGTTTGATAGATGTTAGTAAAGGAGGGGAAGGCTTAAGAGCAAGAATACACCCGTGAAGTCATATCCAAATATATAAGAGGTAGTGCCGTCATGGGGCAAGGATCATGACACCGCTTCCCGAGGTAGTCGGTATCAACTGAGCTCTCAACGCTGAAACAATAATTGTGGTGAGACGCATCCAATTGGATCCGGCCCTTCGCGGTCGGTAATTATGCTAAGCGCCGAAAATTGAAAAGGAAAATAGTGATCAAAAGTCAACTCATCCCGCTCTATCATCATGGCTGAGACTGTTACTCTGCCGCACAGTCACCCACCGGTGGTACTTTCCCCGTTAACAGTACGTGCTGAGCTATGGTTAATGAGGGTGGTTTACCGGGATATAGCAATGACCAAAGTGAGGTTTGAGTGGCATTGGAGGGGTTGATAGGATCACTCTTGTATCAAACTGCACACAGATCGTTTCCATTTTTTGATTAATAGAGATTATTTAAAGGTGGCTCAATAATTAGTGGAATAAGCTCCAAAATTGGATTCTCGATTCCTGTATCAGGCGGGCTGCAGCGGCGAAGTTCATGGGTCGAACAATAGTTTTTCCAGAGGCTCACTTATATAAATCTAAATGGTATCTTGAAACTAAAATTTGGGAGCCAAATACCAACGTTCTCGATTGTTTGGTTTAATCATATCTACAACCCGGATCATGTAAACAAGACCTCTTAGCTCAGTGGTAGAGCGTGAGATTCCAGCTTAGCTTGGCTCCTCAAGGTCGTCCGTTCAATCCGGGCAGGGGTCATTTATTTTTACATTATTTTTTCCCAACACCAAATCCCATCGGGAGGCTCCAACTTATTGCTCTGCTCACCAATAAGAATCTGCGCTTACGATATGGTTAGCCCCTGCGCGATGGACGGTGTCGGCACCCCCTGAATTACTCCCGATCCGCTACATTATCAAACGTTTGTACACGAACACTAGCTGAATATATGCGCGTGCCTTCGAGGCTATCTTTGGTTAGAACGAAACAAAACTCCACGCCCCTTGTTTTCATAACCACTACCATCAATACTAGCACGTTAGCATCGGGAGCCAACTCCACGAACTTGCATCGCAGGCCACCCGCCTGTAAAGCAGAGGGGTTCAGATATCGCTCCACACGCTCAAATTTCCATATAATTCAGTTTCAAAAGATCTATACATCATTCGGACGTTATTAGAGACACCAAAGGGAATCAGCGAAACGGGGGGAGGAAAGGAAAAGATGAGGTACTGCATGAACAAAATAATACTCGTCAAGTCACACATATCTACACACCCACAATCTACAGGTATGCATCCAATTTAACGGCCTTGACCTTATCCGGCACTTGTCCTCCAAGGACTTTAACAAGCCGGATGAGTTCCGCCCGCGTATCATCGCCGATCATGTCCTCGGATTGAGGGTCAAGAACAAAGGCGAACACAGCAAGCAGGTGGTCGATATGAGGCGCTAGGACTTCAGGCTTTGTATTGAAAAGGTGGAAGATTGCTCGGAACACTGGGCGGTTTTCAAGGAAGTCGTGCTTGAGCGGCAATGCTCCCACAAATACGGGAATAACCTAAAAAAGTTAAGTATATATAATCAAGATGCATTTGATAACTAACCTGATCGAGCGGCATGGAGCCAGAGTTCTTCAATAGCATCCGAGCTACGCAGCCAGTTGCATTGTCCTTGGCGTTGAACTGGGCATGAGGCGCACCCTCAGCTACGACAAAGTAGGGCCTCAGAGCGGTCAAGATAGTCAAGTAATGCGCGCTGATATCCATGTCGCTGTTCTCGATGAGCACACCCATTGCGAAAGCAGCGTTACTTCGGACTTCAGGATCCTCATCGGAGAACCCTTGCGAGATGAGGTGGAAAACTTCCTCGGTGAAGGGAGTCACACCTCCCTTCATTCCAGAGATGATTTCACCCATGCAGCCAATAGTTGAAGTCCTTTCACTGAGGGAACGATTCTTGGACTATACCGGTGGTTAGCAAACATCTGCAGCATTTTGGTAAATGACCTACGTAATATTTGCTGATGAGCGGGAAGAGCTGGCCGAACAACACAGCAAAGTCTGGCCCGAGAATGCTTGCAAATGCGGCAACAAGATCGCTGGCGGCGGAGATGAGAACTTGGTCGTACTCGGCTTGATCCTCGGTCTCGTCGGCCCCTTCATCGTCTTGGTCAGGATCCTGTTGACATAGCGCCTTGCCTTCAAGGATTTCAGTCACGAAGCGGACCATGGTGTCCATATCTGAAAAGTACCGTTAGCGATGTTCAATTTAAACGTGGCCATGGAATAATTCAGAGACTTGAATGGGTCCGAAGACTTGCCCACATCGCGACTTGCGTCGCTCAAGAATTTGCAGAAGAATTGCATCCTTAGAAGTATAGCTAAGCGCGTAACACTTACGTTGTTCAGCAAGCCCTGGGCCAACTTTGGCGAGCGTCTCACTCAAGCTCTGGCAGACGTTTGCGACCACGTTCCTAATAAACAGATGTCAGCTCGTGCCATCACCACATTATATAACAGTGGAGAATGGTTCAGAATAAAGACGCGTTCGTCGCATTACTCCGTAGAGTGTCGAAGTGAGCTGAGTTAACGTTGAAATATCCTCATGCGCAAAGGCAAAGTACACAGCAACTGGAACGTCAACGTACTTATCGTCTTCGGTTTCCCACATGACAAAGATTTCAGGCATAACGTGCCCGATAAGGTCCTTAACGTTTTGGTGAAGTGGTACATGCTAACGACCAAGTTAGTACGGTTACACGGCAAATATGCTTACTACTTACCACCTGGCTGCCCGGGACCCATTCAGCCGGGGACGACAACTCGTAAAAGGTTTGGATGACCGCAAACAACGAAGTCACCGCGGATTTCCGGATACCTTCATAGTAGTGAGACAGAAGCTCGACGAGTTCGTGCACACAGGGCTCCACATATGGCAGGAAGTGGCTACGGGTGTACGTGAACACGGTGCCGATAGTATCGGCTGCAATTTCCTTCTCGACGGCGATGGCGCTGTTAACGGCCAGTTCCTTTTCCTCGTCAACATCCTCAATGTCAATCGACTCTGAATCGAGCTTGGATAGGTCGACGGGTTCACCATTCTTGTCGGCTTTTTTCAATTCCTCGAGCTCCTTGGCTACGCGAATTGTTAGCCAATCGCACTCCGTCAGAAAGGAATAAATTTACCAAAAGCAGTATCTTCGCCCCCTTCTTCTTGTTTGCAGCTGGCAATAAGAGCTGGGACAACCCGATCGAGATAAGGGGCGAATTCTTCTTCAAACACGCGGGCCATGACACCGAAAATGAGATAGCTGCACTCGCGGAGGCGGGCCGAGTCAAGAGACATTCCTTCGAATGCGTTGTTCATGACGGGCTGGAAGTATGCGCGGAACTGCTCGCGACCAACAGCATCAGCAAGGGTACCGACGGTGTCCATTGCAATACCCCGCAGCTCTTGCTCGCTTCCTTCACCCGTAAGCACGAGGAAAGGCTGCAACCTGTGCATAGTGGACTCGAAGTAAGGCAAAAAGCCGGCCTTGGCGGCATGGGCGGCAGACCCAATGGCTCCAGTGACGATACCCTTGACATCGTTAGGAGCAGTGTCAAGGAGCCCAGAGAGGCGTTCCATCAACTGTGGCAGATACTGAGCGATTGTATCGCCAAGAATCTCAAGGAAATCGTCGAGAGCTGTGCAAGCAGCCCCCTGAGTGTCTGGGTTGCTAATCATGTCAAGAAGGATAGGAAGAATCGTTGCGTGGCGGTCGACAACTTCTTCCTCGAGCCATTCGCAAGTGCAACCCAAGGCAGACAGGGCAGCCTTGCGTACAACCGGGTGGGGATCGGCAAAGCCGGCGTCGATCAAGGGCCACAATTGGCGCATATGAGGCCTAATGAACTCGGAACAACCCTCGAGCGTGACCGCAAACGACGTGAGAGCGGCCTTGCGCTGGCCAGGGTCTGAGGATGCCATGTACTGAGTAACGATGTTGTGGAGAGTAGGGAAGACTTGAGAAGGAGGGAGAGAGGTCGCGAGCTCGTCGATAACACGGAACGCCGTCTGCCGAGCTAGTTTAGTGCATGCCTACGGTTTCACGGACAATCAGCTCACTCGAGAAGGGCATTCATCGTCAGCATCTTCACTATCCTCCTCGGTTCCAATCGGCATCAAGCCCTCGAGGATAGGCTTGGCGAGGTTAAGGCTCTGAATTCGGCTCTTCTTGCTGTTTGTTTAGAGTTATGTTAGTATCCCCGTTAGGCGAGTCCATTAGACGCACTATTTAACGGTCCAAGTCAAGGAGTTCAACGACATAATACGTAAGGAGGTGTCGTAGTTCTTGTTGCCTCCACAGCGAAGGAAAAATTCAACCAACTGTGGCATGTGCTTCGAAAGAAGGGGTGTTTCCTGGGTAATGTAGTACGTGAGTAAGTTGGTGATAATACTCATGTCAGTACCTACCAGAATGAGCAGGGTCTCGAATACGTCAAATCCATGGCGAGCACCTTCCTCGTGGCTCCTTTCAAGGCAATCGGCGAGAACATTAATCATATCAGGAATAAGTGCCTGGAATTGTTTCTAGTGGTGCCAGTTTAGTAACCTATTTCGGAGATGGAAATACTCCGACCCACGATTTCATCCTTTTGATGCGAATCAATATACTGAGCGATTTGTCCAAGACACCTGACAGAGGTGACCCGAACCTCCGCACTCTCCGGGTCGCGGATAAGGCTACCAAAAAGGTTGAAGAACGTAGGGAGACGCTCAGTGATTTCGTCCATCAAGCTGTCCATGATGGTGAAAAGGACATATACTCCAACTTCACGGTGGGCCGCGGTGGCGGCGACACACGCAGACTCGACCCAAGGAATAAGCTCAGGCCAAGTGACCTGCTTGCTACCTCCTTGGAGCTCATATTGGGCGATTGCAGAGATAACACGAGCAATATTGTGGCGAACAATCGATGCAGGCTCGGCGAGAATCACTTCAGTAACTCGTGACTTGATAGCGGCGCGGATATTTTGGGGAACCTGGACCCAAAGCTGGCCCTGGTGCTGGTTAACGCGTTTTCGGAGCTCAACAGCAGCGAGTTGACGGATCTAAAGGGTATATGAGTATTAGGCGGGTCAAAATGCTCGTAAACGCGTACATCCTTGTTCGGGGAGGAGTTGATAATTTCAAAGAGCGCCGGGATGCAGTCCGGGCTAGTCCAATAGTTCTTTGCTAGAGCACTTGTGGCCTACGTCGCTATCAGTATGAAGCCTGTTTGTTAGTTTAGTTTACATACCGACTTGATCACATTGGTGTCGGAGACAACTGTTTGCGACAAGAGGTCGTGAAGATTTTTAATATAAGTGGGCTGAGATAGGCTTGTCAGCAAAGAAGCCCTAACCCATCCGCAATTCATGCACATACATCCATGGTATATATAAACTATACGGACAAACTAGAGGAAAGGGAGAAACGGCGTCCCAGGAATCTCCCGGACTGAGGGTGGACGTAAGGAGGCAGGAGGATGCGAGTTTCAAACAAATTTTTGAAGGACGACCCCCACTCAGGGTTCAATCACCACGTGCCCCACGATCAATCCCCCTATCTGGATTCTGGATCCCCAAAACTTAACTTATTGATCAGGGAATATGAACACACAGGCGGATATGGACAATTTAACATTCTTGTTCATTCTTTTTCATTATTGTTCAATTTTGTTCAATAGAGCTTCCTCCAGCAATCTCTAGTACCTTGTATACGACTTCGATACC